AAAAGGGGTCAAAAATTGAGCTCTATTAAACTACTATTTCAGTTTAAAAGCTCATTTCAAAGGTGGACTATTTCCTTTAATGTTTGCAGCCCCTGAACAATAACCATTGCAAAGGTCACCGGGGTCCATTGAAACGGCCTGTGGCCCTGTTTCAACTGACCCTCAGAGAAGCGTTTCAATTGACCCCATCCGCTCCCGCCATCTCGCACGCGCCGTAAAGCACATGTCAAACGAGCTGGAGGGACGGCATCATGCTGAATGAAGGGCCAAATAAGGTGTTATTCCGGAGCCAGGAGTTCTTCTTTCAGCAAACAAAGGTATATGAGATATCACAAAATATTCATAAGAACGATTTCTCCCAAACGCCCCTCAAAAACACAAAAACAAGTGTCAAATCAAAATGACCGTCCGTTTACCGCCCAAACGCCGTTGACAAAGGAAGTGGTCGAGCGCGGATCTGCAGTGGTGTCGGCAACGCCATATGTTGCATACTGTTGAAAATAAAGCCATGTTTCATCTGAACCCGTGTTTCAACTGGCCCCGCTCTCCCCACTTACGGCGGTTTTTGGTCTTGTATTGCAAGCACATGTGAAGCGATGACGATAGTTTGAATCGTTGAATTCATTTATCTTGCAATGCAAGCAAGAACAGAGGGAAGAAGGGTAAATAATTTTATCACTTCACATGCGCTTGCAATACAAGCCTAAAAAACGGCGTAAATTACGGACCCGCTTTATGAAACGAGGTCCTGGAGACGATGTTGCCGGCGGGCGTGGTCTGCTGCAGTAGAGCTGAACTGGCGGCGATGCTGGCCTCTCCCACCTGCCTGCGGAGAGCCAGCTCACATTATGCCAGCTCACATTATCAGCGCCTTTCCAGTCTTTTTGTGGTTTTAAACTTTCAGATTATGAAATGATGTCGAGAGCGCCCCTGAGCTTCTCCGCTCACGCATCACCCACCGCTCTGATGTGTCTGTGCGTGAAACGAGAGCGACACGTGACGGCGAGCTGGAGGTGCCGCGGGCCCGCACAGAGTTTGCCCGTCGGTCGTTCTTCAATCGGGCGGTGAGAGCGTGGAATAGGCTACCGCTGAGTGCGAGAAACGCGTCTTCTCTTCCTGTCTTTAAAAAGTGTATCGCAGATGCCTTTTAAAGGGTGATGCAAATGTGGATTGATAGGAAAATGCTTTTACTTGTGCTACATGACGTGGAACGCTGAAAACCCATTTTATGGATGTATTCCTAAATATATGATATGATATGATGTAGGTGCCATGCATTATGATGGGTGTCAAGGTCACGTGAAGGTCAGGCCAAGGTCACTGACCTTTAATGACCTTGGTTCACTTTTCGAGTTTTACTTGTTTCTAGGGTAGTTTTTGGAGCTACTTTCGAATTATTTGAACGTTTACAAAGTAGTTCTGGTCTTTTATTGACTCAGTGCCAAGAATAGCCTCTTTGACTCCCGTCATAGATAAAGGACGGCCACTACGAAGTAAATAAATAAGTAAATAAACACTATGGATGGCCGGCTGGACGCCTACTGGTTGATTTGACCTGACCTGACCCGACCTGGCCTAAATGCATTGAGACATCGTCTGTGATCAAAACTAACATGAAATTCCTGGTCCAACTTTCGCGAGGGCTGCGTCCCAAAGGCAGGGGGCTGCGTCCCAAAATGGAACGCAGTCAGTGCGTTGAAATATGCCAAAACTTTGGGCCTTGTGACAAATGTGGCGCAGTGCGGCAAACGCAGTGCATTTGTAGTTGCCGCTTGAACAGGCATCCTTCCACCAAATTGCATCATTATCAGAAAATGTTTCACAAAAATATGTACATTTTGGCAATTGCGGCGAATATGGCGCATTATGACAAATTTGGTGTAGTGCGGCAAACGCGATGCATTAGTCCTTGGCACTTAACAATGCATTCACCCACCAAATTCCAGCCCAATCGGACTTAAACTGACAAAGTTATGTACATTTGAATATTTCACTATAAAATATCTCCGCAACGGAGGTGCCCAGATTTGCAGGTGCGCCACGTGACCACCGGTGGTGTAAAGAGGACTTGTCGCCTCATCGGTTTTGCCATTTCAGGCTTCCTGACTGGTGCTGTTTTCGTGCTATAAGGCCATAAATCGGCAAACACACGATAATCTGGGAGGTACTCGAGTCAAACACGTGTCCACGTGGCACGTGCTGGGCTTCGGGCAGCTTCGCCGTTTGTGTCATTTCATTACCCATGGACGTGGCCATTAGCATGTAAAAGATGACCCCGGCCGGTGTCATCGTCACTGAACAGTGGACGGCTAAACTTGAGAAACGGGAAAATTTAGGGAAATTTCACCTTTCTAATATATAATTTCCCTAGAATTTTAAATTTTTCATTTTACAAAAAATCCGAGATAGCAGTTTTCTAGCACCGTTCATTCTGTGTCTATACCCGTTTTCAGATCGACTCTATCATAAAAACTGACGGCCTGACGGCTATTTCCCCCATTCCTTGCATTTCACAATGCGAGTGTATTTAAGAACAAAAATTGACCCCGTGCCACGGCACGTGCAATAGCACGTGCGCCACATGACCACCAGTGCTACAAGCTGGACTCATCTGCTCACCGGCTGCACTGATTTGGTGTCGCTAGATGAAGTCGTTTCCACGCCATAGGACCCCCAGTTGGTCAATGTCGGATTTTCCCGGAGGTTACCCCATCAAACACGTTTGCACGTGGCACGTGCAAAACGCGCAAAACGCACGCCTAAAACGCCACGCAAACTTCGCAAAAAAACAATCGCCCGCCCTCCGAAAACCGCAGAAAAAACGCACAAAATGTCGCAAAAACCGCGCGTCCGCCGCAAAACGCAAACACCGCAAAAACGCAAAAAACCGCAGCCGCAAAAAAAACGCCCGCATCGCCCGCCGCCAACCGCCAAACGCCGCAAAAACGGCCGCACGCCGCAAACCGCAAAACGCCGCAGAAACGGCCGCCCGCCGCAAACCGCTAAACGCCGCAAAAAACGACCGCCCGCCACCCGCCGCTAACCGCAAATAACGGCCGGCCGCCGGCAACCGCAAAACGCCGTAAAAAACGGCCGCCCGCCGCAAACCACAAAACGCCGCAAAAACGGCCGCCCGCCGCAAACCACAAAACGCCGCAAAAAACGGCCGCCCGCCGCAAACCGCCGCTAAAACGGCTACCCGCCGCCAAACGCCAACAGCAAAAACACCCGCATCGCACGCCCGCCCGCCGCCAAACACAAAAACCGCAAAAAACGCAAACACCGCCGCAAAAACGCCCGACGTAGGCAAAACGCAAATACTGACGCATTAAGACAAATATGGCGCCCTGCGGCAAATGTGGTGCATTCATATCTGCCGTTTAAGCAGCCATCCCTTAATCACAGCGCATCCTAATCGTCCAATGTTCGACAAAGTTACGCACATTCTGCGCTTTGCGGCAAAAATGGCGCTTTGAGACAAACGTGGCGCACTGCAACAAACATGGCGCATTCGTTCCTGTCGCTTAACAATTCATCCACCCACCAAATTCTAGCCCAATCGGACTTAAACTGAAAAAGTTATGTACATTTGAATATTTCACTATAAAATATCTCCGCAACGGAGGTGCCCAGATTTGCACGTGTGCCACGTGACCACCGGTGGTGCAAGCAGGACTTGTCCCCTCACTGATTGCACCATTTTAGTGTTCCTGGCTTGTGCTGTTTTCGTGCTATAAGGCCACAAATCGGCAAACACGCGATAATCTGGGAGGTACGCGACTCAAACACGTGGCCACGTGGCACGTGCCGGACCTTTGATAGCTTCATCGTTCACGCCACGTGATGACCCATCGACGTGGCCATCAGCATGTAAAAAATGACCCCGACCGGTGTCACCGTCTCTGAACAGTGGACGGCTAAACTCGAAAAACGGGGAAATTTAGGGAAATTTCACCTTTCGAATATATAATTTCCCCAGAATTTTAAATTTTTCATTTTACAAAAAATCCGAGATAGCAGTTTTTTAGCCCCCTTCATTCTGTGCCTATACCCGTTTTCAGATCGACCCTATCATAAAAACTGACGGCCTGACGGCCATTTCCCCCATCTCTTGCATTTCACAATGCTAGTATATTTAAGCACCAAAATTGACCCCGTGCCACGGCACGTGCAATAGCACGTGCGCCACGTGACCACTAGTGCGACAAGCTGGACTCATCTGCTCACCGGCTGCGTTGATTTGGTGTCGGTAGGTGGAGTGGTTTCCACGCCATAGGACCCCCAGTTGGCCAATGTCGGATTTTCCCGGAGGTTACCCCATCAAACACGTTTGCACGTGGCACGTGCTTTTCAATCGCCCCATATCTGACCCATACCATGTGATAGCCGACACCCCGGGGCACAACATATTGGAACATTTTCAAAATCTAACGTGGAAATTTTTTGCAAAATCCATTTGAAAATAATTTTTCGAATTCGCCATAGGCTCAACATGGGGTAACTGTCGGTCACGATTACCCGAAACTGTACCCTATGATTTTTAAATAATTACCCCCAGAAGGTGAGGTGCCAGCCCAAGAACTGATCCTAAAAAAGTGGACAAATATTACTGAACAGATTTTGCGCAAATCGCATTTTCAATTTTTCCCCATGTTAACCCTATGGGAAAATGCACGTGCCGATTACCCCAAAACGGGTTAATTATATTTCAAGCGACCGATGCCAGTCGGTAGCTCCCCCACACGGGACCAAACGCTGAAAATGGCAAGAAATTCTACCGTGCCGTTTTCGAGGGATTCAAAATGACCCAATTTCCGGCAGAAACGCAAATGTCCCCCTAGAGAGGTAGCTCAGGTTGGGATTTTCAATAGAAAATCACAATTCTAAAGAATAGTGATTGTTCTTAATTGAAAAGTCCCAACCTTCGGATATCCACTGTCCACTGTATGACAATCGTCTTTCACGACGATTCTCGCAATTCACGTCAACATTTCACTTACCTTATCTTGCTCCTCAGTCTTCCCGTAGTATCAGCTGCGATCCTCCCTCACCCTGGAACGTGAATACGCACTCGCCCCCGCACCAAACACGCGTCAATCTTGCTGAAAGCAGGGTCGGCCCGCGGCCGCTCGCCGCTGAAGGCCCGTGCGCGGCCGGCCGGCAGGGGGCGGTATTGTTGATGTACGGGCACGGGCGGAGCCAGGCTAAATGTTCAGTGGAGCAATTACGAGCAGAGTTGATGACGTGTTTGTGGTGTGTGTATCACACTGAATTCACATAACTATCACTGAGGGCATTCATATGGATTTGAAATAGGTTCAGGTGACCTTCAAGGCTTCAACTGACCTGGCGCCGCCATTGGCCTTTATCATACGATCAGTATCGCCACACGGACTCTACGCTAGGCCACACGCCTAAATGTTTTATAAAATACGCTATTGCCGCTGTAGATGTATGATGTGCTTGTTGGGGAAATACAGGGTGAGGGGAGTCAATTCAAGAGTCAGTCAACAGTAATATTAACAGCAAGTCGGTCAATTTTAGCGTATTCCTGCTGAATGATGTATTCGTAGTCATTTATAAGGCCAGCCCAGAAGAGCTCGGTAGTAAAAGCGTGGAATGAGGCATCTGAATTCGAAGCATGGGGTTTGTGAGTGAGGCATCATATCCCCGAACATTTCCTTCCAAAACCGAATATTACCGTAACCGAAGCGTCCATCCCGTTTCGCCGACTTTTCCGTTTTCTTCCCACAAGGTAAAATTTACACGTTCAAAAAGTTTTCTTTTCTTATTATCAGCGGTGAAAAATTGTGCCGCATTGGGGCAGCACGAGCTTTTCCAATTCCACGCCGGCTTGGCTTTGGAGCCGCGACAGAGGCGGAGGTCAAGGTGACCGCTAGGGCGGCGGCGGATTTGCTGCGCCCGTGCACCCCCAACTTGGCAAAAGTATCCACCTCTGCTTGTTATTCAATATCTAAAACATTGACATTATTCGACACCAGCGACCACTACCCTGCTAGTCTTTATTTCTATGCCTGCTAGTCAGCCCGTCGCGACCCTCAGAGGCTGTTTTCAACTGCGTCGTCGGGTTGATAATCCAAAACCTGGGGACGCGTTTGCGAATGGCGTTGCATTGCAGGTCTGTGTTCCTGCCACGTTGTCTAGAGACTTGATGTGGGCTGGTGACAGGCAAAATAGGTGTTACGACAAATCATCCCGCGTATCATAGGTATACACTATACATAAATGAAAAATAAATGAAAATATTTGCCATAGTGAACAGAGTTACGCCTACACCACCACCAATAGCATCCATACACCCCCATATCCTAATCCCTCACGCCTTCGCAGTTTGAATCGCAACTCATTGACCCCCCCCCCCCCCCCGCCACCCGCTCCCCCAACCAACAGCACCTCAAGACGTCAGATTCACAAAAAAGCACGTCGTTAGGGTATGTAGTCTGTATTGTACATAAACGTCACTTTGTCACGCCAAATCGTGTCGAATGAAGTCGAGAAAATTCCGACCGAAAGTCCCCGGTAGTAAACCAAATTCACACTCACAGCAATGGCGGAACGCCGCGTGTCAGCGAACAGCGCGACATCTACCGACCAAACGACAAAGCTAAAGTACACGAGCTGGCCGCGACCGCCTACCCGGCGCCGCAGGTCAGCTCACCGCCGACCGTTGCCATGGAAACATACACAGCTAGGTGACAAACGACAGCACGGAAAACCAAAGGACAATTTGCGAGCGTCACACTGACATAAGCCTACGTAGAAAATACGTCAACTTGATTATACTGCGTAATTATATTCCCAGATCGAGAAAGGTAAGTTACACTTACGCATTTACCCAACGCAAATAGCTATGATACGGCGGGAAGTCGTCTTGAATCACCGCCAAACTAACCAATCAGCGTACGCTCACAGACTGCCCTTTGGTCACACACGCAGCGTCAATCTCGCACGCTCGGCGAGACATCTAGCGGAGAGACGACAAACCTCAGTTGCGCGCGGCGCCCGCGCGGTGGCGCTGGCGTGGAATAGCCGCGCGGCACGCGACCCATTGCCGGCGGCGCCCCCACTGCGGCGTCTCGACGGCGGCGGCGGCGGCTCCGAGCTGTCGGTGACGATGTCGACGGCGACGCGGCGAGCGCGGCGCGCGCGCGGCGGATGGCGCGGCAATGGTGGCGCGGTTAGTACATGTGTCGCGAGGAGGACGGCGGCGGCGGCGGCGGCGCTCTGAGGGGAACCAACACAGGCGCGCGTGAGCAGCGGCACGGGGCCGGGCCGGGGCGGGGCAGCCGGCGCCGGCATCACGGCGGCGGGGGCGTCACGACGGGACCGAGCTGGGCATCACGGGCGTCACGAAATATATCGTGATCATCACGGGGGGACCGTCACGACGAAAGACCGAGGAATCACGGGGACCGTCACGAAGGAATCACGAGATTCCACGTGACCATCTAGTAACGTCACGAAGGGTCACCGATAGCGAGTCACGAGCACCGTCACGGGCACCGTCACGGGACCGTCACGAACGGCGGTGGAGGAGGTTACAATAGCGGGAGACTCGGCGGCGCGACGGACTGGGTGTTGGAGGAACCGGATAGTCTCTCTCTCCCTTCCAGCGGACGGTGCGGCGAGGGTGGACCTGAAATCTCCCCAGCCGGGGGAGCGAGAGAGTCGGAGAAAGAGAGAGAGGGGCAGGCGAGAGGCGACACCGGTGCGGGCATGCTCGCGGCTGCGTCAGAGGAAGAGAGAGGTGCACCCGGCGGCCGGCGAGGTCGGGTCAGAGTCGGACTCGGGCGCCGACGGTCAGAAATTTCGCATCTCAGTTGCTCGCGCGGAGTACGCGGCTACTGCGCAGGACTGGCTTACCAGTGGAGGCACTTCAGCCGACTTCGGCCGGCAGGAGAAGGTAGATCGCTGCGGCACTTTTAATTTTTTTAGTGTAACAAGGCCAAATGAGCTTGACATTCCTTGAGGTTTAAACTTCAGCAAAGTCTTTGAATTTCAATGTCAGAAAATAACATTTATCAGAGACTATCAGATTTTGATGCCAAAATTATGAAATTTGCAAGTATGCTGCTTTTAACGGCTTCGCCGGAAGGCACCATCGTTCTCCACACAGTTCAAATAATATATCATTTTAGCATCGTCTTCAACGACTGTGAGGCCCAACCTAGGAGCGACATTTCATCAATCGTCTCTAATTGGAACCCTTCAATGGTTTGGATCCTTTTGGCAACGGTCTCACGCAAACTGTTCAATGAAAAGGGGTAAACGTTTCCGCTGAAAAAGAGTATAAAAAAGAAAGACGTGACCATGGTGCTTGTAAGCTTGGCTCAACAAAAGCGCCACGAACAAAATAATTTCCAAATTAATTTAAAAACGGAAACGTTCAGCATTATGGATGAAAGGGGACAAATAAAAGCAAAGTGACAGCTCTGCCTCAGCGGACAGTCCAGACGGAAGCTCCTCGCCCATCTGTCACGAGATCTCAGTCAGCGCTGAAAGGGGACCGCTGGAAAACAATACACGTCAGCCACTACAAAACAACAACAACAACAATACTCAAGGCCATATATAGGAGGTAGCGACACTGAGCGATTTGTTTACAGCCAGTTTCGGACTCAGTGACGCAAATGTGTCGTCACGGGACAAAACAATATGGCCACCTCTAATGAGAACCAAGTGCAAGAAGTTCCCGGATGTAGCCAGCACTGACGTCACCGGGTCCGAAACCAATGACATCAGTACTGGACCTATGGCGAAGCAAAGTAGTGACACCCCCCTGACAATACTAAACATGGCTGCGAAATACAGCAACGGCGTGGCAAAGGCTGAAAGAAAATGATCGATTCTTTACGGTCCAAGGTTAAAGACAAGAGAAGAGTGATCTTATAAGCGGGCCAACATCCATGAAACACAAAATAGACGGTGATTGTTTGAGGGAAAGATACAACAGGAGCATACTTTCATTGTTGAAGATGTGATCTGAATGCATTCACCAACTGGGACGAATGAGGCCACAAAAGAGCCGAAATCGGGAAGGTGGGGCTATTTGACAGTTTTTAAAATTGCTGTAAAATAAAAAAAAAAACGTTTGAAATTTATGGTTAATTTTTGCTCAGACGATTTACTACTCGATTCCATACCTCCCTGAACAAAAATATCACACAAAAAATCAAACGATCTTCATTTTATAGAGATTTTAAGTACTGTATCAAATAGCCCCACTGTCTCAAATAGCCCCACTTTACGGTACATCACAAATACATTCAGACCGGCCTGTCCTCATCACCACACCTCTCCACCCTGCGACACTCCTCTTAAATGATCCCCCTCCCCCCCCCCCGCCCCAACTGCCCTCATCCCTCCGAGCCCATTCGTTTTTCCCGTTTCTCAATCCCTCGATTCCACGCCCCAGCTCTGATCGTTTTCAATCTTATTTATACCCTCTCCTCCTAGTTTCCTTCATTCACCCCTTTCTACTCCCTGCCACTTTCGAACGGGCGTATTTTTCATCCTACCTCCTTCCCGTTTTCCTCCCTTTTTATTCGCCACCCCCTCCCTTCCCTCTTTACGCATCCACTGCTCCAGCCGTCTATGAATACCGACCTACCGGTGTAACTTCATATTCCTGGACACCGCTCTCCCCTGTTCCCACCAACCTATTTCATTTTACTCTCTTAGAACTCCCTCCTCTTCCCCACTATCCATTCATTCCTTCCATCTCCCTCTCCCACCCACCCATCTCTCTCCCACACTTCACTCTGTCCTTCCTATTCTGTCTCCTCTCCTCGGCTTTCCTCTCACCTCTTCACTTTAACATCCCCCACCTGCCCCTCCATCTCCTCTCCCCACTCCTTCCGACCCTCGTCTATCCTTTGTCTGACCTTTGTCTGACGTCTGACCTTTGTTAATTAATTGGGCCTTTAGGGCGCGCCGACTACTATTATTATTATTATTATTATTATGTCAAACATCCACCAACCACAGAACAGTGGGCATTACGGTGGCATGATAATTGCCAAATAAGACGTATAATAAATATCAAAACACCACATATTATTCATTCATCCCAGCTAGAACCATCATTACGGTGGCATTACGGTACTACGCGTCATTTCGCGACTAAGGTCATTTTGCGCCCATACCTCCTGCTCTTCTCCCCCCCCCCCCCCCCTACTCACCCGTCCGAGCGATAAGTGGCCGCCCTACGGTCGTACAATCCCTCAGCGGCCGGCCGACGGGCCAGACCGTACGGATCGTACGGGTCCGTAGGCAGCGGCGCGGCCCGTCGCGCGGCGGCCGCCCGTCGTTCGTACAGGTCGTACTCGTCATAGTAGTCGGCTGGGACGGCCCTGGCCGGCTCGTAATACCCCGGCTGCGCGTAGTAGCCCTGTAAGGCGGGGTGAGAAGGCGGTGAGAAGATGGTAAGAAAACGGCAAGAAGACGGTGAGAAGGCGGTAAGAAGACGGTAAGAAGGCAAGAAGACGGTAAGAAGACGGTAAGAAGATGGAGAAAATGGTGAGGTAAGCTGGTAAAAGCCTTGCAGGAGATGGGCTGAAGAGGGATTTAAAAAGACCAAAGGGACATATAAAACAGAAAAAGTACAGGCAACACCTCCACAAGCCTTGATATCTTTACACACGAGAATGTACGAAAATGATTGCATGTTGAATGCCAAAAGACGTATAATAAATATCAAAACACCACACATTATTCATTCATCCCAGCTAGAACTTTTTTACTGCACGCTGAAGCCAACAGAAATAACATCTTCTGCCCGTCCGCTATATTCTACAGTAGAAGCCGATGCCGCACCTTCCACAGAAGAGCTCACGATGACCTCTGGCCTATCGAGACGAACCAAGAGAGAGCTATCCGTCCTCATAAAGCCGATAGCTCTCTCTTGATTCTCCCCGACAGAGCAGGCTAGTTTCCCGAAGCGTCAGTTTGTAGAATCTATACTCGGCTGGCTTTGCTGACACTTGTTGTACGGCAAGGGCATGGAGTTTGAGGCCAAATGAAGGAAGCAAAAACATATTCCTAAAAAACATCCATTTTAGGCTTCATAATAAGTAAGTCATTCTCAACAGAGTGACATGACGAGAAAGAAATATTTTAACAAGAAAATACAGCAACAACCTTGCACGCTACAACAACGTGAAGCCACACTATGAATCATAGAACTCTGACCTATTGCGGCGAACCAAGAGAGAGCTATCGATCTTTTAATATCTGCCGATAGCTCTCTCTTGATTCTTCGCGACAGGCCCGGCTTTTTGAAGCGAGTTAATGAGCATGAGCTGAAAGGCGAAAGTTAAGATAAGAAGAAAAACAGAAACGGAGTGTTCTTACAGTGCAGCGCATAGAAACTTCATACCGCTAAACATCCAATTGTTACAGCTACACCCATCAGTTCGTTAGAAGACTGCGCAGTGCGGACACAACATGCATGACTCTTGTTCACATCCTTCTTTTCCCGCCACGTCATATATCTTCTGCCCGTTCCGGTCATCCCCCCCCCCCCCCGCTAATCACTCCGACATAGACGCCCTTCACTACTCACAAAGACATAGACATTAGACAGTGTCTATTAGACACCCCTCCCCTTGTTACTCACGCTGACATTGACACTCCCTCCCCCCTACTCACGCTGACATAGACGCTCCCTTCCCTGCTACTCACGCCCACATAGACACCCCCCCCCCCCCGGCTACTCACGCCCACATCGTAGTACGGATCCCTGCGCGGCGCCGTATCGTATTGTAGTATCGTAGTACTCACGCCCACATCGTAGTACGGGTCCCGGCGGGGCGCCGTGTCATAGTACGGATCCCGGCGGTAGGTGGGCGGCGCCGGTCCGTACGCTGGATACGGAGCGTAGCGCGCCCGCTCGCGCGCCGCCGCCGCCGCCTGGTAGCCACCCCACGTGTCGTGCGGGGCCGCAGCCGGGGCGTAGCCGGCGTAGGCGCCGCCGTAGCCAGTGGCGCCGGCCGCCGGACTGCGGACGAGATGAAGAGTGAGACGTGATGTATATGATTATGACACGATGGCATGACGAGTTCTCGACGAGATACATGACAGGTACGAGCCAGGCGAAGTCAGTGAGGGGACCGGCCGTGCGCGGCCATGTGCGCATATTACACTTAGAACTCAAAATTCTGCCATAGAAACGGAATTGCACGATCGGAGGGTAGAGGGCAGGGTCAAGGCAACAAGCACCGCTTGCGGGAGTTCTATCCTTGTGAATCCTTTCATCCAAAATGTTCGGATTAAATTTATAGAAATAAGAAAATAAAAAAGGTACAGGAAAATATTGAGACATGAGGCGACATTAGACGCATATCCATGGTAATTTGCAGTACAAATCACATCTATTGCACCTCATGTTATGTTACGGCAGATCTTGTCTAATCAATAGCACCATCCACGAATAAGCAGTCAGACTTTCAGCTCCTCTCTTCACGCCCCCCCCCCCCCCCCGCTCCGTCTCTTACCGGCCGCAGTCCTTGCTCCAATGCCCCTGGACGCCGCAGCGGTAGCAGATGTCCAGCTTGTCCATCCCGGGCACCTGTCGCACGGAGCTGGTCGACATTTGGACCCGGATGTCCTGGCCGTGCAGCTGATAGCCGTTCAGTTCGTCGATCGCAGCCTGTGCTTGGTCCTCGCCTTCCATGTGCTGGCGGAGAGACAAAACGGAGAGGCGGTGCTTTAGATAATGCACGTGACTGGGATATAGAGAGCGCCCACAAGGGCCCAATCTTATAAAGGTTGTGCTACCAAATGGCGTACTATCATTCCACCCCACTCTATTTACGGCACCCTATTCACGCAATCTTATAAAGAGAATAGTATGGTAATTCTATTCACGCCATTTTGCCCACAGTACAAATCAACGCCAGCAGGAAACACGCAACGTGATTGGTCAATGTCTTGTCGCCGTCGCTATTGGAAATTATGCGTACTGTTTGCGAACAGCAAAAGTTATATGTTTTAATTTTTATGGGGCATTTATTTCTTTTAGAGACACACATATGTGTAATGAATAAGTTATTTATGGAAAACGTGATAGCAAACTATGGAAAACACAAACATGCTTGAAGAATTCTCCTGAAAAGTGGATTGCCGACCAAATAAATTTCAGCGAGGGCATTCTCGCGCTCAGAAATTCGAGTGAATAAAGTGTTTCTTCTACTTATCATTTGCATTTATTTGCTGTTAAGGCGTTGCAATAAATTTGTTAAAGAATTATCTAAATAGTCATTTCATTATAGCTCGGCTATTGTTTCAGTAATTTAAGTAATGCCGTTGACAATGAAGCTTCTACAATTTGAGCATCAGGATACGTACATTGACTGGATCAATTCAAGATATAGCTTATTTTCCTTCTTGTCATGAGCTCTTGACATTTTCCTTCTTGAAGATAAACTACTAAAATTCGAAGACTACGTACATGAACTGAATTAGGTCAAGTTACAGCTTATTTTCCTTCTTATTCAAGCATAGGTACCGTACCTGTTACCTAACCTAAAGCTAAAAAGCAATTCCTCAAAAGATTGAAGAACCCAGTCTACATATCAAAGCATATCAAGAAAAATACTCGGCTCAGAAGTCAGATCGAGATGCAGGAAGAGAAGAAACAACACATTGATCCGTAACTGTGCCAGACAGAAAGTGAGGAGATACGAATAGTGAGTAGGAATTAACAATTTTTTGACAAACTAAGGTATATCATCATTAATTTAAATATCTAATCAGAAGCCATGAAGTGCCCGTTATTTGTGTCATACGTGGGACGTGAGAATAGGCTAAAGACCCATACCGATTCTATAATGCAGTGGCTGCCGAAAATCTATGATGGTTACTGGTGCTAAAATCCTCTTAAAAATCCCCTTTTCATTTGAAAAATAAATCCATATAACGATGAACACTCGTTTTTATGTGTTTTAGTGTGCATTTAGTTCCTGAAAATACGTATTTTGAATTTGATCGTTGTCTGTATAATAAGCATCATTATAATGAACCTGAGTTAATATGTGGAGGATGTTTTAATCTTAAAGATATCATAACGTAAAATATTGCATACTTATATCATAAAAACATTGAATTTATCTTAAATGAATTAAACTGTCTGAGAAGCTCGTCAAAGTACGCCACAAATTCTGGCGTGAAATAGGTGCCGACGATGCCGCAATCAGCTGATTATTGTTTGTGTTTTGAGATGTGCACAGCTGCTCACGGCTGAAATCATTCTACGGCACATCCAAAACTGGCGGTTACCAAAACCGTAAAGAGCGTGCCGTGTTTTCGATTTCACAGAGCTTTATAAGATTGCGTACTATATATCCAGCCTTAGAGTGCTGCCATATCCATTTCACGGCGTTTATAAGATTGGGCCAAGGTGCTGACTGGAAAAAAAAAAACGGGAAGGTGGTGCCATGGATGAGAGAATACTGGATTTATATCTCGTGAAAACTAACACAAGGATCCGCGACATTAGGATCAGGCCTGCCATCTAGCGAGATAATTGTCGTTAGGTAAGCTAGATAGGCATTGGGATCAGGCCTGCCATCAAGCGAGATGCGGAGGGTAACAGAGAAGGGTTTAATCAAATGCATCCAACCGGCCTCCTAACAGGCAACCCGCCACTCACCATGAAGGCATTACAAGTTGGAGATATTGTTACATTCTTATCAGACTGGACATACATCTCCTTTACTGTAATCTCTGTGTAGCTAGTTCCCGGGAAAACCCTACTCAGACATAAAGCCCATCGGGCTCTCCCCGCTCACCACGAAAGCGTAGTTGGAGATGATGTCGGCCTCGACGACGTTCCCGTGCCGCTGGAAGAGACTGCGCAGCTCCTCCAGCTGAGTGTCCTTGTGCAGGTTGCCCACGAAGATCTTACACCTGCCCGCCACACCACTGCACAAACTCAGCATCAATGTACTAATCATTGACAGGTTTGCACTGGTTCTGTGTTCCGTACAGCATATTTGTCACACATTTTTTTTTTAATCAAAATGTCGGCTATGCCGTGAACTCTTGACTTTTGATATGATTCGCCTCCCGATTTGCTGTCCGAATGAGTTTTGACGCGTGTTTTGTCTGTCTATCGCTCTCCCCGTCCCTTCCGGTAGGCCGGCGCTCAGCGGCCCGAGCCGTGTGTAGGCGCCACACCTAGGATGAGATAGATAGAAAGAGAGAAAGAGGGAAAGAGGGAAAGAGAGAAAGAGAGAAAGAGAGAAAGAGAGAGAAGAGAGAGAGAGAGAGAGAGAGAGAGAGAGAGAGAGAGAGAGAGAGAGAGAGAGAGAGAGAGAGAGAGAGAGAGAGAGAGAGAGAGAGAGAGAGAGAGAGAGAGAGAGAGAGAGAGAGAGAGAGAGAGAGAGAGAGAGAGAGCGAGAGCGAGAGAGCAAGAAACAGACAGACAGACAGACAGACAGACAGACAGACAGACAGACAAACACAGACAGACAAACACAGACAAAGACAGACAGACAAAGACAGACAGATAGACAGACAGACAGACAGACAGACAGACAAAGAGAGACAGACAGACAGAGCGAGACAGACAGAGAGCGAGACAGACAGAGAGACAGACAGACAAAGACAGACAGACAGATAGAGAGACAGACAAAGACAGACAAACACAGACAAACACAGAGACAGACACAAACCAGAGACAGACTCAAAGACAGACAATCACAGACTCGGCAGTCCACCGACCTGCCTTTCCTGGCCAGGCCGCGCTTGTTGAGACCGGTGGACAGTTCGACCACCATCGGTTTTCCGCAGACATCCTTCCCGTTGAGCGCCGCGATGGCCCGCTTGGCGTCCGATTCGTCCTCCATGTGCTGCTCAGATGGGAGGGGGGGGGGGGAGAGCCGGTGAGCCAGAGTCCAATAACGGGGCACCAGGGTAATACGAACATCTATCGGGCTGATGTTAGGTGTAGAGGTAAGTCGTATAGGTAGTATGCAATAACCATGAATCAGGAGTGGAGATCTGTCAAAATTTCCGGGGGGGGGGTCCAGGCCGGGCAGATGGAGGCAGGCGGGGTGCGGTACCATTGAGTTACAGAGCAGTCATTCGTTTTCAGGGGGGGGGGGGGGGGTCCTGATCCCCCTCCCGAGATCTCCACCTCTGACTATAATCGCCCCAGTTCGTATACATCTATAGAAGCTCAGCTTTATGATGACACCAGCAGCATCCCAACTCAAACGGAACAGGAAGGCTGCAATGTCTTACATCAAATCAGATACCACACAAAGCACTATTGATTGACACATCCCACATCCCCTGGAAACGAACTAAAAACGAAGCTGAAATCATGGATAAGCTGCCCTTTCATTACGTTCCTTTTGTAAACACCGACGCACGACTCACCACAAATCCATAGTTTTTAATGACGTCCGCCTCCACCACTGTTCCGAACGCCTCGAACAGCGGCCGTATGACATCGGGGGTGGCGGCGTCGCTCAGATTACCCAGGAAAATCTTCGTGGTGCCCGACTTGACCGGCATGGTGAGCCTAACGAACGGGCGGGGCAGAGTGAGATGGTAGGCACGGAGGGGGCAGGAAACTAGAGATGTCAATCGGATACCAACTTTTTGGTATACCGATACCAAACCGATACCAACTTGGTATTTGGTATTTCAAGGCGAATGAATTTGGTATTTTGTTGGTATTATGAATCCTCACTAGTGTTATTGAGGCTGAGAATTTGGTAAAAAGTTGGTATTGCCCTCATATTTACAACTCGGTTCGGTTTCGGTATTTTTCCATGGGTATTGTATTTGGTTTGGTATCGGTACCACAATTTTCCGTAATTGACATCACTACAGGTAACCACTCATAAATTTCCTTTTAATTTTTTCACGCCTGTAGATATATTAGATACACAAACCATAATGCTGACCTCGTATCATATAAGTTTTAAGTTATTAATTCCATAAGACCTGTTGAACATTACATATGTACCAGTCAACAACTCTGCTATATAATTGGAATGTAGTGTGGGTAGCGAGTGAAGTCAGCTTAGGTTGTTCTTGTCTTGTGCCGAAATTATTTATCCTATTAGTGGCAGGCTCCTGGCTACCCCTATACTGATGGGGGGGGGGGGCGACTGTTAACGATCCCCCTTGACATCTCGAGATTTGGCCGGACGAGTTTCAAAATTCAAATAACAATGGACTGCACTCAACATGATCTACATTTTGAAAAAAAAAGTAAATAGGGCAGTAGAGGGGCTAAAAGTTCACATTGTAGATGCTTTTAAAACTGTTAACCATGGCTGCTTTTTGGCAAAATCATCAAAATGAGCGTTTCAAAGAATCATTGGCAGATACAGGTAATTTGATTTTGGAGGCACACAAAATGCATAATAAATCAGTTTTTAGTTAGTGCGGTCACTGAAATGGGTTAGGAATGGTCTTATCACGTTACAAAACATGTGATAAAATGCCTCACTTTAGAGACGTAATTCATAGGCGGTGTCAGGGCACCAAAGTTGGGAGGTAAAATCAACTTCACCTTCTTTTTCCTGGAACCACCTACTATTCACCTCTTGTTCACTTGTGAAGCCCAACATTGCGAAACCTTGCCTGTCCTCAAGAGTTACCATTACCAAGACTATAACATTGTTCTTTTCATTAACGTGTAAATTTTTCTTATAAATTTAGTCCGAACCTTTTGATGGGAAGGATTCACAAGGACAGAGCCACCGCTAAGCGAAGCTTGTTGCGATGACCCTGCCCTCTACCCTCCGATCGCGCAATTCCGATTCTATGGCAGAATTTACCCCGCGTTCGATGTCTCCCGCACGGCAAAGATTCTATGCCGTCCGGGCCCGAAATGGCGTTCGATGTCGCACGGACGGCAAAGATTCTACGTGACGTCACGTAGAATCTTCGTCGTAGCAGCTGTTTGCAGAAGTTGTTGACATTTGTGCGCGGTCTCTATAGAAACGTAAACTTGGGCCTTTTTCGAACATTGTGTAAGTGGCGCACAAAATGGCCGGTCTCGTCGTCCGCCTGTGTGCTTCATCGAACGCAAAATAGAATATTCTGCGTAGAATGTTCTTCGTCCGAGGAGACATCGAACGCGGCCTTAGAGTCCAAAGTTTAACGTGCGCACAAAGCCGCGCACGGCCGGTCCCCTCACTGACTTCGCCTGGCTACGGCCTGCCACCAACCGCAACCATACCTGTCAGGAAGCCCATAAATGTCGAGCGCCCGTGGCGCTTCGAACCCGGACTGTCATAACCGGGAACGCGTGCTCTCACCACGCGGAGTCCAACGCTCTACCAACTGAGCTACAGGACCGGCGTCCGGCTAATAGACACTAATTATGCAAGAAAGGCGTCGAAATTAAATCACCCCTAGACTTCTTATATTAGATCGATCGGTTTGATGAAAAACAACACTTTTCTCAATAACTCAAAAGCTATGCATCCTAGCCGCATGAGCTCATAGTGGCCATTGTTACGAAGGAAAACAAAGATAGTGAGTACATAAGGCAGTAGATAACAGCAGCGGTTCAGCCGGGAAGGCTGGTGGTCCATTTTGCTCGCTGGGCAGTCTTACTCCACCTGCCCCTACTAGTCAAGTGTTTTTAGACGATCGCCATAACTTAAGTTGCACAACCCGGAGATGTCATCATCATCATCACGTTTATTAAGAAACAAAAGAATACACTGAATACATGTGTTTCGTCCATTTTCTTTGCACATTTTCCAATAGATGGCAAGTCTTTAGAATATCCAGTGGACCAGACGCATGAACAATATTTAATTATTGAGTGAATATGAGTGGTAATAAGGAAAAACATGAATTCAGAAGATCTACAGACTGTAGATATCAAAAGATTGTGAGCCAGCCCATCCAGCCCTGTGGACAGTGGATTGGATTGGACGTGCTCATCGAACTTCAGGTCTACATCAGTTGGGCAAACTAGACTTCTGGGATCAAAATATGGAGGCACCAATAATTTGATTCTGGTGGGAGGAGCCATGACCAAATATGGGCATGGAATCAATTTTTTATTCATTTCGGTACACTTTTGATTTCAAATGTATTGTTTGTTATGGTTGAAAAAAGGCCCATGACAGTGAGATTTTTCTTCTAATAGCTAGAAAAATGTGGTGGGTTATTTAGGTATGCAAAAAGTGTTACCTCACAAGTACAACTAAGAAATTGTCACTTTAGCCTTGTGAATGGGAAAAAGACAGACCCACTGTCCACCAAGTAAAACCTGTTTTGGGAAAATCACACAATGTCATTTTTATATCATGAATTGCATAGGTACTTAACAAGTAACATTTTTTTTGTAAAATAGCAAGATGAAATTTTTAAACCCCTGATTTTCATTGCTGTAGTGCTTTTATACTTTGGCTTATTTTTAGATAATTTATGATTACGAAATGGTCTACATTTATGCCTAAATATGGTCATGAAGAATCAATTTTTTGATGCCTCCATTTTAGATTCAAGAAGCCTAGTTTGCCCTATCTGACATTAAAGGTTACACCAAGGTCAACATGTGAAGTCGCAGACTGGATGGGCATTCCATCAAGGAAATATTTAGGCACAGGAAGGTCAGTTCTTCGTTTTGAGAGCTTCATGATGGTTTCCACGTTACTTGGCATGGAGGAGTAGATTCTGACTATAGAAAATGTGTGATTTAATAGGCAAAGGTTTTAAAAAATCACCTAAAAGAGTGGTTTCACTAATGCACGCCTCAGTAAAGGCCTGGCTACACTATGCGTTTTCTGCGTGCATTTTTTGCAAGTGTAAGTGATTTGCATAATATCGTTCCAGAAAAAAAGGTTATTACTAATATACATTCTTATATATTTATATAAAATTTAATAAAATTGTTTATATTAATTAAAACTTTATATGAAAAATATAACAAAAACGTAATGTTGTTTCTTTCTAGAATGGTATTACGCATATCACACAAACTCGCAAAAAACGAACGCAGAAAACGCATAGTGTAGCTCGGCCTTAAGGCTTCAAGAAAGACGCGTGCCCAAAATCTCATCAAAACCTGCTAAGTTTTGCAGTCTGGCTTATGCTTAATTTTTCAACTTTTCAACAATGATAACAGTATGAAATCTAGGAAACAAAACGCAAGAAAGATATCAGTACAAAAGATTACTGAAGAGACAAGAATGAGACGAAAATGAGACCAAACCCACAAACTTGGAAACGAGACTAACGTGGCGCGCTTACGATTAGCTAAGCTGCACCTAGTAAAGCTGCTACTACGCAGCTTGAGGTAGCAAGACGCATTTTCTACTCACTTCTTATGTAACAGATGTTGCTAAAATATGCTACTTGCTCTAGTACTTCCTTCGCTCGACGATATGTGATTCCCTGACTCCTCTCCAATCGTTACCGGAACAAAATGGCGTGACGTTCATAAAGTTGGCTTCAAATTCGGATTCGGATTCCAGCACCACATTCGTGGAAAAAATGACAAAAACGGACCCCTCAGAATCGATTTAAATTAACAGGATAGATAGAGCAGGACATGCTTATTATGAAAATAAATCACCTAGGCTTGGCACCCCCTAAGAACTGAGGAATCTTAGGTCAAAGTTCAAGGTCATTCTCGGCGGACCCTTTGGATTCTCGTAAAAATTGGTACAACTATAGTCCATGAAGAGTTGATTTCAAAAATATCAGTATCTTACTTTGGCAAGCAGCACGAACTGATATATAATAGGTCAAAGGTCAGAATCAAGATCACGTATGTGTAATACAGGAAGTGGAAGTAACCACGTGGTCAGGTGAGAAAGGAGGACCCCTTAGATTTCAATAATTTTTTGCTCAATGATGCAACCAATGTTGGAGATGCTACTGCTGGTTTTTCTTGTTTTGGCAAGGTCAAACTACGGAGAAATGACGGGTCAAAGGTCAAGGTCATTTTTAGCGGACCCTTTCGATTCACATATAAATTTTTATCCCAATACAATTTTTAATTTTGGTTTTTATTCTGCGTATTGTTAGGCTTGGCAGGTCTTAAATTATTTTAAAATATTTAAATAATTTAACCTTTAATTCACCTATCCCAACATGGCTACCGTGCGAGCACCTATCAAAACCTTGATGAAAATAACAAACCGAAAATCCATTTGACCTTGGACGTGCCCCGTGCCGGTGCACTGGCCTTAGGGGTGCTGAAGAACTTGATTTGGTAGGTATAGTGTGTTTTGGTGTGGGTTATTGTAATTTTAATGTATTGCACGTTGCCTGATTTGCGACACAACTTACAAAATTGAAATAGCAGTCGTAAGTAGTGTTAGTGTCGCAAGTTGACCTTGCCTTGGGGTATACCGAATAGGTCACAGGTCATTCGGGTCATTGCCTCGAAATTTACGTGGTACGTGTAAAATTGTTTGAACTTGAGATCCTGAAAATTTTGTTGCAATCCATTGATGCTAATGCAAGTTATAGAGCTTGAACTGACAGGTCGTTTATGAGGCCTCCATCCATGCCAGCGAGGCAGCAAGAGTGTTGAAAATGGTCCATAATATGCTATTTCACATTTATTGGGGTATTCAGGAATTGGAAGTAGCCTAACACCATTCCAGCAACTACTGGCGAATCCAGAAAGGCGGTCTTGGACGCTGCAAGGGTCATCCCCCCCAAAATTCTCCCGATTCCAAAAACGTGTCCCAGATGACCCCCATGACCTCCAATGAGCTCTGCGATGACCCCAAGTTGACCTTTTTGACCTGACGTGTCCCAGATGACCTCTGTGACCTCCAGTTTAGCTCTGATAACTCTAAGCTGACCTCTGTGACCTGGCATGTCCCAGATGACCTCCATTTGAGCTCTGTGATGACCCCAACTTGACCTCTGGGACCTCACGTGTCCCATATGACCTCTGTAACCTCTAAGTTATCTTTCTGATGACCCCAAGCTGAACTCTGTGACCTGACATGTCCCAGAAGACCCCCAGTTGAGCTCTGTGATGACCATAAGTTGACCTCTGTGACCTGACGTGCCTCCAAGTTGCCCTTTGTGACTGACGTGTCTCAGCTGCATCAGTGGTCTCCAATTGAGCTCTGTGATGACCCCAAGTTGACATCTGTGACCTGACGTGTCTCATATGACCTCCAATTGAGGTCTCTGATAACCCCAAGCTGACCTCTGTGACCTGACATGTCCCATATGACCTCTGTGACCTCTAAGTGACCTCCCTCATGACCCCAAGTTGACCTGTGTGACATGACGTGTCCCATATGACCTCTGCGACCTCTAAGTGATCTCTCTGATTACCCCAAGCTAACCTCTGTGACCTGACGTGTCCAAGATGACCCCCATGACCTTCAATCGAGCTCTGTGATGACCCAGGTTGACCTCTGTGACTTGACATGTCCCACCTGACGTGTCCCAGATGACCTTCAATTGAGCTCTGTGATGACCCCAAGTTGACCTCTTTGACTTGACGTGTCCCATATGACCTCTGTGACATCAAGTGACCTCTCTGATGACTCCAAGCTGATCTCTGTGACCTGACATGTCCCAGATGACCTCCAATTGAGCTCTCTGATAACCCCAAGCTGACCTCTGTGACCTGACATGTCCCATATGACCTCTGTGACCTCTAAGTGACCTCCCTCATGACCCCAAGTTGACCTGTGTGACCTGACGTGTCCCAGATGACCTCCGTGACCTCCAATTGAGCTCTGATGACTCCAAGCTGACCTCTGTGACCTGATATGTCCCAGATGACCTCCAATTGAGCTCACTGATGACCCCCAAGTTGACCTCTGTGACCTGACGTGTCCCATATGACCTCTGCGACCTCTAAGTGACCTCTCTGATGACCTTAAGCTGACCTCTGTGACCTGACGTGTCCCAGATGACCTCCGTGACCTCCAATTGAGCTCTGATGACTCCAAGCTGACCTCTGTGACCTGATATGTGCCACATGACCTCCAATTGAGCTATTTGATGATCCTAAGCTGACCTCTGTGACCTGACGTGTCCCAAATGACCCTCAGTTGAGCTCTGTGATGACCCCAAGTTGACCTCTGTGACTTGACGTGTCCCATATGACCTCTGTGACATCAAGTGACCTCTCTGATGGCTCCAAGCTGATCTCTGTGACCTGACATGTCCCAGATGACCTCCAATTGAGCTCTCTGATAGCCCCAAGCTGATCTCTGTGACCTGACATGTCCCATATGACCTCTGTGACCTTTGAGTGACCTCCCTCATGACCCCAAGTTGACCTGTGTGACCTGACGTGTCCCAGATGACCTCCGTGACCTCCAATTGAGCTCTGATGACTCCAAGCTGATCTCTGTGACCTGATATGTCCCAGATGACCTCCAATTGAGTTCACTGATGACCCCCAAGTTGATCTCTGTGACCTGACGTGTCCCATATGAACTCTGCGACCTCTAAGTGACTTCTCTGATGACCTTAAGCTGACCTCTGTGACCTGACGTGTCCCAGATGACCTCCGTGACCTCCAATTGAGCTCTGATGACTCCAAGCTGACCTCTGTGACCTGATATGTCCCAGATGACCTCCAATTGAGCTCTTTGATGATCCTAAGCTGACCTCTCTGACCTTAGGTGTCCCAGATGACCTCCAATCGAGCTCTGATAACCCCCAGTTGTCCTCTGTGACCTGACATGTCCCATATGACCTCCACGACCTCTAAGTGACCTCTCTGATGACCCCAAGCTGGCATGTGACCTGACGTGTCCAAGTTGACCCCCATGACCTTCAATCGAGCTCTGTGATGACCCCAAGTTGACCTTTTTGACCTGACGTGTCCCAGATGACCTCCGTGACCTCCAGTTTAGCTCTGATAACTCCAAGCTGACCTCTGTGACCTGACGTGTCCCATATGACCTCTGTGACGTCTAAGTGACTTTTCTGATGACCCCAAGCTGACCTCTGTGACCTGACGTGTCCCAGATGACCTCCGTGACCTCCAATTGAGCTCTGATGACTCCAAGCTGACCTCTGTGACCTGATATGTCCCAGATGACCTCCAATTGAGCTCACTGATGACCCCCAAGTTGACCTCTGTGACCTGACGTGTCCCATATGACCTCTGCGACCTCTAAGTGACCTCTCTGATGACCTTAAGCTGACCTCTGTGACCTGACGTGTCCCAGATGACCTCCGTGACCTCCAATTGAGCTCTGATGACTCCAAGCTGACCTCTGTGACCTGATATGTGCCACATGACCTCCAATTGAGCTATTTGATGATCCTAAGCTGACCTCTGTGACCTGACGTGTCCCAAATGACCCTCAGTTGAGCTCTGTGATGACCCCAAGTTGACCTCTGTGACTTGACGTGTCCCATATGACCTCTGTGACATCAAGTGACCTCTCTGATGGCTCCAAGCTGATCTCTGTGACCTAACATGTCCCAGATGACCTCCAATTGAGCTCTCTGATAGCCCCAAGCTGACCTCTGTGACCTGACATGTCCCATATGAGCTCTGTGACCTTTAAGTGACATTCCTCATGACCCCAAGTTGACCTGTGTGACCTGACGTGTCCCAGATGACCTCCGTGACCTCTAATTGAGCTCTGATGACTCCAAGCTGATCTCTGTGACCTGATATGTCCCAGATGACCTCCAATTGAGTTCACTGATGACCCCCAAGTTGATCTCTGTGACCTGACGTGTCCCATATGAACTCTGCGACCTCTAAGTGACCTCTCTGATGACCTTAAGCTGACCTCTGTGACCTGACGTGTCCCAGATGACCTCCGTGACCTCCAATTGAGCTCTGATGACTCCAAGCTGACCTCTGTGACCTGATATGTCCCAGATGACCTCCAATTGAGCTCTTTGATGATCCTAAGCTGACCTCTCTGACCTTAGGTGTCCCAGATGACCTCCAATTGAGCTCTGATAACCCCAAGTTGACCTCTGTGACCTGACATGTCCCATATGACCTCCACGACCTCTAAGTGACCTCTCTGATGACCCCACGCTGACATGTGACCTGACGTGTCCAAGATGACCCCCATGACCTTCAATCGAGCTCTGTGATGACCCCAAGTTGACCTTTTTGACCTGACGTGTCCCAGATGACCTCCGTGACCTCCAGTTTAGCTCTGATAACTCCAAGCTGACCTCTGTGTCCTGACGTGTCCCATATGACCTCTGTGACGTCTAAGTGACTTTTCTGATGACCCCAAGCTGACCTCTGTGACCTGACGTGTCCCATATGACCTCTGTGACCTCTAAGTGACCTCTCTCATGACCCCAAGCTGACCTGTGTGACCTGACGTGTCCCAGATGACCTCCGTGACCTCCAATTGAGCTCTGATGACTCCAAGCTGACCTCTGTGACCTGATATGTCCCAGATGACCTCCAATTGAGCTCACTGATGACCCCAAGCTGACCTCTGTGACCTGACGTGTCCCATTTGACCTCTGCGACCTCTAAGTGACCTCTCTGATGACCTCAAGTTGACCTCTGTGATTTGACGTGTCCCATATGACCTCTGTGACCTCAAGTGACCTCGCTGATGACTCCAAGCTGATATGTGACCTGACATGTCCCAGATGACCTCCAATTGAGCTCT